GCTGGAATGACTTCCTTCTTTGTTTACAACCAGAGGAGAATTCTCGTTTTTCAAGTTATCAGTATTAAAAAATACAATATTCCTTTCCACCTCCACTGACTGCATTTTAAATCTGTCAGCTTTTAATCTCACTAATATATGAAACTTTCATTCTCAGGCTCAGCTTCTACCATGTTTCAGTGATGCCGCTCTGCATGTAAAAAATGGTGTATACACACAATGTGATAATCAGATGCCAACTTTGGCTGCTAAAGATGTTATTGCTAAGATCTTTTCTCAGATTGCATCTTCTCTCTCTGAGCTGTATCCCTCAGTTTAGGGGGAACATGCAGTTTAATTCATTTGTTATATGAGCATTTAAACAGAGAAATCAACAACTGCCCTTTCAAAATCTGACATACTAAAATCCATCATGGTAATTTCCTCACTAGAGATAAAATTCAACCCTGAGCAATGGCACAATATAGGAGACATATACATCACTTTCCTCTTATTTGCAGAACTACATGATTTCACATTTTATGTGTGGGACAAAATGACCGAATCACAGCTAATAAAACCACAACATCCACACAGACCACACTGCTGCACATAGATGAGCCTACTGCAACTAGATCTCTGCTTCCACACCTAAAGCAACCTTCCCTTGAAATTTGTGAAGTTTCCTGTCCATCTGGCAAGCATGAAGTTGAACACATGGACAAAAGTCACAGTTAATATATAAAAAGATATATATAAATAGTATGAGACAATAACAGATTAACAGACTGCACTGCATCAGATTAACAGACTGCACTGCATCATGCTACAGTCATCAAGCACATGGACATCTTCACCTTCTCCTTCAGATTTTGATTTTTCCTGATTTAGGGCACTATAATCCTAAGTAGTAAAGTGGCTACTAAATGGTGTTTCTTAGAACACCTTACTAAACTTCAGCTATTTTAAATAGTAGTTTCTACTCTGGAAAAGACAGTTGTTTCATTCTTAAGGTATGTTTTGTTATTAAGCATTTGTGCTCCAGTGTCAAACCATGTGATATGTTCACCTTAAATGTTAACCGAATTTTGCAAATGATAGTTTAAAAGTTGTTGAACACATTTAAGTGAAAACTACTGTATTTGTATACTTGTACTCATAAAAACTACATGTAAACTGCTGAAATTGTGACAAAGGGAGTGTTCTAAAAGTAGCCAGTCATATATTTAAAAAAAAAAGAAAAAGTAGAGCTTGAACAAAAGAAAAAATGGGCTGGTGATTTTTAAGAGTGCCTTTAAATGTAATACTGCAGAAGGAATGATCCTCTAACAAAAGATTTAGTCATCTTAAAGACATGACTGGGTAGTTACCTCAGGCACAGTAGTATTTTTGTTCAGTGAAGATTTAGAAGAATGAGAGCTATGAAAGGTGTTTTAATTTTTATTTCATTAATGACAACCTTGCATTTCTATGCAACACTGAAGTATATAAATGAGAATGCATGCCTGCATCAATAAAATCTAATGTGATGAATCTTTACACAGAGACTACACCCATACAGTAAATAGATGACAAATATACCTACAGTTTCTGGAACAAACACTGTATTTTCTCAGTAGTGACAGATGAGATTTACAGGGTATGCACTCCCCTGAACTGTCCCTCAACAGGTGACAAAAGTCAAGGGGCACCTGAGAAATGCTCAGACATGTTACAAGTCATTCTTCTATTAAAAAAAGGAGAATAGAAGAATTAGAAAATACATGGAACAAAATACAAGCCTCTGGAGTTATCCTGCTCATGGGACACTGGAAAGAGGTCATGGATACTAACTATTCTAAAAGGTTTCTATTCTGAGTGGTAAAATCTTGTCTGTCTTTATACGGGCGCAATTCCTCTATGGAACCCAATCATGGGCTCAGTACTTTGAAACTACAGCTATCTTATTTGAAGAAATGCTTCTGCATTATAAGAAGGGTACTGCTTTCAGATTACAAAGGAGATTCTGTAAGGTTTTAACCTCTGGCCACCTCCCTCTCCATTCCTGTCCACAGGAATGAAGTTGAAAACATGTATTTTGTTATTCCTCTGCTGAATTTTTAATAGGAAGGAAATAAAATAAAAATTCTTTCACATGTATGCAAGACTATAACACAGGTAAGACTAAATAAGAGATTCTGGATCTCACAAATTAAATGGGATTATGACTTTGTATTGCTTTGAGGTGATTTGTTACTCTTTATGCAGATTACTAAGGTATTTTCTGCTCAATTTACTTTGTACTGAAGATTTGTTCCCCACTTGCTTCCTATAATTCTCTTTCCCAAAACAATGTTATCAAGTGGATGTCAGTTAGGAGTACAGGTCTATTATCACAACATTACCAAACTGAAAGAGATGCATTCACAGGAATAATTTTTCTTTTTAATTTCTCTGAAAACAGTATGTCCTATAGCCAAAGCTCCATGCTGTGTGATTTATCAGCATGATCCTCAATTAATCTGCAGCTGTGCCATCACAGCACATCCATGCACAGAACATCAGCTTGTGACACAGCAAAACAACCTGTCCCCCCAGCCAGAAAAAGGCCACCACCCAAGCAGAAAGAAGCAATATTTGGTATTTATAATCTAACTTTTTCAGATCAGGAAAAATGAAAAATTAAATACAGATTTGAGAAGCAGTATAAAGCACAAAAGGTTTAATCTAAACGGGGCAAGTGAAAGCTGATACTTCTGTTGCTCCACCTTTTCCCCTGAACTGGTAATTTTAGAGACAGATAAAGAAAAATATATATTTGAAACCAACATTGTCTTTTAAATCATGTATTTGTAATATAGGAAAGAGCATGTAACAAGTAACTTTTCATTAACAGCTAGATGCCATTCTGAAATCAATTCCTGTACCAATGTACACATTGGGGCTACCTGTAAGAATCTGACAATATCTAACTGCATGTATACAGGATTTTTCTTCTCCTCTAAGCCTCAGGAGATTCCTTTTACTCATTAATGTGAAGTCTGTGGAATTACAAGTGATACATCTGGTTAACTAAATTCCAGTTCCCTGCTGAAAAGCAATACTTAACACAACCCCAGAAAGGATAACTGTCTGTTAACTGGGATATAAAGTGCCCTTCGGAAACTGCCACTGGTGATATGCAAGGATCTAATTTCTGATTCCCAAAGCTGAAGTAATGTTAGCACACCTTTCAGGTGCAGAAAACTGATCTAAGCCTTTTGTATGTGATTCAGCATGACAGTTAAAATTGCAGTCCCTCAATGTCATTTTACATTGTCTCATTTTATTTCATGCTGTGTCAATTTTTTAAATTTTCTTCAACATGTTTAAATCAGGACAGCTTCAGTGATTTGAAACAGCTAATAACAAGTTACCAAGGAACCATTAAAAATATATATCCAAGTAAGGTTTATAAAAATCCACTCATATTTGTTTCAGATATCATCTGAATGTTGAGTATCAATGCAAGGTTCAGAAAACCTGTGGTATCAGTACAGGTTGGGGAACGAAGGAACTAAGAGCAGCCCTTAAAACCAAGTATGTCCTGGGCTGTATCTAAGGCAGCATGGCCAGAAGGGCCAGGGAGGGGATTCTTCCCATCTATGCTGCTCTGGTGAGACCCCACCTGGGATGCTGAAGCCAGCTCAGCACAAGAAAGACACAGACATATTAGAGCTAGTCCAGAGGAGGGCCACAGAGACAGTCAGAGGGCTGCAGCAACTCTTCTATGATGGAAGGCTGAGAGAGTTGGGGTTGTTTAGCCTGGAGAAGAGAAAGCTTCAGGGAGACTTGAAAGGGTACCTGAAGGAGGCCTGAAATAAAGCTGGAGAGGGACCTTTTATCAGGGTTGTTGCAACAGGACAAGAAGCAATTGTTTTAAACAGAGAGGCTAGAAAGAAGGAAGATGTTTTTTTTACAATGGAGGTAGTAAGGAGCAACTAGAACAGGCTGCCCAGAGAGGTGGTAGAAACCCCATCCCTGGAGACATTCAAGGTCAGATTGGACAGGGCTCCGAGCAACCTGGTCTGGTTGAAGATGTCCCTGCTTACAGCAGTGGGTTTGGACTACAGGATCTTTGGAGACCCCTTGCAACCCAATCTATTCTATGACTCAATCATTCTTTTTCAAACTATTTCATAACCATTTAAAAACCCAACAAATTTCAAAGGTCAAAAGATTAAATGGTTAAAAATGGTTCAAGAACAGTTTATCTGTAAAAGCAGACAGAAAATCACAATCAGTTTGTGATAAAACAACTACAATAAAGTAATTGTTTTTGAAAGAAGAATAAATCATTCTAAAGGATTCCAACATCTAAATTTTTCATCTGTCAAATTTTTGAATATTGGAAAATTGCTTCACAATATATAAAAAATACACATTGAAATAATGACTTCTAAATATTTCAGTGATATCCACTACTTTATTACATACCAAGACAAATATTTAGAGTCTTGTGAAAATTATGTACTTCGCCTCAATTCATGCATCCTTTGTAGCTTCATTCTCCTTTTGTACAGGACAACAAAGGAGGTAAGAGACATGACAAAATATTGAGAATCAAAGAAAGGCTAAGCTGGACCAACATAAAAAACATGCAGCAAATCAAGCCCTTGGGTATTTCAAAGCAGCTTTAAGAAGCCCATGCAATACTGTACTTCATCCTTGCTGTAAAAAAACTGTTAAAAAAAAATTTCTTGGATCTACTCAGCAATTCCTGTTCCCACAGACATCTGGCTCCCTTTCTGGCAAGGCAGAGACATCGGACAGAAGCAGCACTCCCTTCCAGGACAAGGCAATGTCTCTCCCCCACCATGCCAGCTGCAAAGGCAGGGCAGAGGCAAGGAGATGGTGGCCAATGAAGCTTTCCAGAAGCCACTCCACAATGCCAGGCTTCTGTCTACCAGGTCAATGAGATGGAAGTTTGAAGAGGTCTTTCCTACAGGGAAGGAGCCCCCAGAGAGCAGGGGCAAAAGACATATGAACCTGGCTCTGAGAACCTAGGCTGCCCCGCTTCACTTGTGCAAAGCAAATGAGGAGGCCAGAGCCATTTGAATACCCCCAAGAACTAAAACTAGGGATCTCCTCTCTCTGTAAAAGTCCAGACTCAAACAAGCTAAGAGTACAATTGGTTTTGTATGGGTTGTTCCTGCCTGGGGCAGAAGAAAAATGGGCATTTGGCTTCTCCCTCTCTGCTTCCCCTTTCGGTCATAAATAGACATGATTCTCACCACAGGCACCTCATCAGACAGAACAAAGAGGCAGCTCAGTCACATTGTAAGAAAGCCATCAGCCCAGTGACAAAAGAAGGACCAGGTTTTCTTGTACACCTTCTTGGACACTTCTCAAAGTTCTGGACAGCAAAAGCCCAGGCCAAGTGTTGCAGGCATGAAGCAGCAAACACTGCCACTTCCATCTGGCTCCTCTTCCCATCACTCCAGCAGTATTTACTCAATGAAGAAAGACTGGACTCCCGAAGCAAACACTGCTTCTACCCTACAAGACACATTTTTACAGGAGAAAGGCAAAATTACTATGAGCAGCACTTGAGATAAGGCATCCCTCAGTGCAGACTCTTCCTTCAGCAAATGAAGTATGAGGCAGGAGTGGGATAGAAGGCAGAGAAGAGGGTAAGAGCATATGTCCAGATACACAATGGCAATTCTCACCTTTGGCAGTTTTCCTGAGCTGCATCACAGGACAATGAAATAATGTGGTTTTCCCTACTACTGGCAAATGGCAAGGAGCAACAGGCAACTCTTTCCTTTGAAAAGCAGCTGCCTTGGCTGTTCACAGTTCTCCAGTCAGCATTCTTCCTCCACACAGAAACTCAGCTTGCAAATAGATATATCTCTGCTTTGCACAGGCCTCTTCTCTTGGAACGGTACTCTGTGCCAGGGTGCCCAGGAAGTGGTGCAGCCTGTGGCAGCACAGCTTTTGATAATAGGCATCTTCAAAGATGCTGGTGCACTGGTGGAAGCGCTCAAGCATCAGTGGGAGGAATCTCAGAGAGATGGACCTGGCCAGAAGGAATGCAGGCTGTCAGAGAAGCCTGAGGGCAGCCTGGCAACTGCCTGCACACACAGGGACATTGGGCAGCTCTGAAGGTAGCACAGGAAGCACTGCAGGAGTGCACCTGCCACAAACATGTTCCCTGATAGGTAACCCATTACAAGAGCATGCCTGATAAACCCTTCAAATCCCTCCCTAAGCGACTTTTCCAAGACAATACAAACTTTTACTTCTTCCCCTTCTACTATCCAACCTCCTTTCAATGAATCCGTCCTTTCAGGGTTCTCTTTAATTTCAGCAGTATCAGTCACAGACTGATACTCCTAATGCTCTCAGAATGGTCTTTGCAGCACCTTGTATGCCCTGTCTTCATTAAGGAGGCAGCTCAGCTCTGTGCACCCAGCACTCCAACAAGCACCAAGTGGTCGTGTAACCACACAAAGCTGCTCGACTTCGAAGTCCATTCAACTATGACTGAATTGCATCACAATGCCTTCTCCATGGTGTCCTTCAGAGGACTGAGACAGAGACCATTCTCAGGTTGTGCATCTCAAGACCATCCCTAAAGCTTTCATCCAGGCTGCCCAGAGTTCCCCTGATGCCAGTGAGATGCATGTATCCTTCACAGAGCTGAGGAGGACAGGTTCACACTTCCAGTGCATCCTTGTCACTTTTGTAAGGTTGGGGTCAAAAGTATTCTCCTGCAGCCCCTGAAACCACTGAGTGCTCTTAAAGCATGAGTACTCTGCAGGTTTTAAGACCTAAATGCTCACAGTTCACTAGCAGCAACAGGGCTCTTACACAGCGACACTTACTTTATCTGATAAAGTCCATCCTTGTAGTGAGTTCAGAACAAGTGCAGCTCTCCCCTTCCTCATCCTCCACTCCCAGACAATACTCTTTCAAGGCTTTTACAAATTTTATCTGGAAATTACATCCTTTTTACAGAAGAGGGCTCATCTGTTTCTCTGAGGGAGCCCAATAGAAGCATGAGCTCCCAGACAGTGATGCCAGCCTCCAGAGTCACACAGACTCCTTAGCTGCCAAAGCTGTGCTCCTGAGAGGCAAGTCAGCACTGAGAGCCCACAACCAGAGCAGTGAGGATGCTTTGTACTCAAGGCAGCTACAGAAAACCCAGGCTTGCAAAGTACTGTTTTCAAGTTTGACGTGGATTAAATGTCAATAACTATAGACAAAACCTCTAGTTCAAAATTCTAATTCTGCAAATAAGCAAACAGTCATTGATTCTATATGCCACTCTGGCTGAAAGGCAACCCTACCTCCCTCTTAATTAACAGACCTCTCCAAATTCCATCTGTGTTCATGCAAACATCTCATCAAATAAGCTTATCTCTAACTGTATGAACAACTCTAAACCCTTAGGTTTATGAGGAAAAGCAGTAACAAACCTGCCTGAACAAAAATTATTAGTTTTATTTAGTTCTGTTACAGATACAAGGTATAAGTTGCTATTCAGTAAATAAATTAATCTTCTTTTTCTATTGTGTCTGAGTACTCCCTCCAAGCACATCCTTTGAGGCTTCCCATTTTTAAAGGAAAATTTCACACTTATTGCTTTTAGTGCAAAAGTTTGGGCTGGTACTTTTTACACGAGAGAAGACATTACCCTTTGAAGACCAAATAGGATTGTTTAGTAAAAGCTTAACAATCAAACAAGCTTTTACAGCCTCTGCTGTCAAATTCGAAACATTATTTTTCAGATTATTATTTCAAATATATTTCAAATTATTATTTTTAGACAGCATGACAGTAACACACCCTGTTGTAATTTACACCACAGGTACAGGGTGGGTGGAGAATGGATCAAGACTAGACCTGGGGAGACTGACTTGGGAGTGTTTGTGGACGAAAAGCTCAGCATGACCTGGCAATTTTTGCTTGCAGTCCAAAAATTCAACCATGTCCTGGGCTGCATCCAAAGCAGTGTGGCTGGCAGGGCCAGGGAGGGGATTCTGCCCCTCTGCTCTGGGGAGAACTGATCCCACCTGCAATGCTGCACCAAGCTCTGGGATCCTCTGCACAAGAAGGACAGGGAACTGTTGGGAGTGAGTACAGAGGAGGCCACCAGGATGATCAGAGGGCTGGAGCACCTCTCCTGCAAGGACAGGCTGAGAGAGTTGGGGCTACTCAGCCTTGAGAAGAGAAGGCTTCAGGGAGAGATTAGAGCCCCCTTCAGTACTTCAGAGGCCCTGTAAGACCTGGAGAGTGACTTTTCACAAGAGCACTAAGTGATAGGACCAGGGGAAATGGACTTAAACTAAAGGAGGACAGTTTTAGATAAGATATTATGAAGAAATTCTTTACTGTGGGGGTGGTGAGGCACTAGAACAGGTTGCCCTAAGAAGCTGTGGACTCCCCATCCCTGGAAGTGCTCAAGACCAGGCTGGATGGGGCTCTGAGCAACCTGGTCTAGTGAAAGGTTTCCTGTCAGTGACAGGGAAGATGGAATGTGATGATCTTTAATGTCCCTTCCTACACAAACTATTCTGTGATTCTGTGAAGAATTCATCCTATCTAAAGCAATTAGGGGAGATGTTCAGACACATTTTGTACTTTCTGCAGTATGTAGTGCAGAACTATCATCATGCATTTCATTCTCAAGTGAAACACAAAGAAAATACCAAAGTTAAAAACCAGAATATCACCCAAACAACAATAAGTATATAGAACAAACTCAATTTAGTTTACCCCACAGAGAAATTTTAGCTTATTGAATTTTGCTTACTGGAGGTTCATTCACCTAGAAGATGGAAAACTCTTGAGAGGGCTTTATCCTCAGTTGTGTAAACATTTTTAAATGTAGTATGCATTTAAGGTCTCACAAAAGAGAAAGAGGTGATGTCTATAGTAAGTAACTATTCTTGGTTACTTTTCCAAAATAAGTGAAATTTTCAAAATAAAAGAATTTAAAATCAAACAAACAAACCAAATAGAAACCCCGTAAAAATCCCCTCAAACCCCACAAAGTACAATAAAAGTAAAAAAAAACCAAACAAGCCAAATCAACCAAAACAAACCCCCACTAAAAAAAAACATAAAAAAATAAAATCGTTTATCATGTATAACTAACTTAATTTTTATTTCCAATGGGTAGTGTTAGCTGCAGATAAAAAGAATTCAGGCTTCAAACAGCATATTTAGATTAATTTTGTCCTCCCTCTTCTTCATCACATGTGGAAAAGCATGCATCATCTTCATGATGAAAGCTATTTTTGTGATAGACTAAGACTGTGAACTGTGGTGTATGACGGAGTGCACTGAAGTCTTAAAGCTCCCCACTCCACCATGATTCACATACACAGAACATACACGCCATGAAGCCTTGGCATGTATTTTGGAGTACGCAGTAATCTACATCCCTCATATCTTATACCAAAACAAAACAAAACAAAAACACCAAAACGGTCAAACACTTAAGAAAACCAACAAAAGGAAAAAAAATTAAGTTCAAACTTGAATTCTTTTCCCTCCTTTCTGTTAATCTGAAAATATTGTATTGTCTCCATCAGAAAGGATATGTTCCTGTTGGTATTTGTGCTAGAGGCAGGAGTCCAAGAGCTGATCCAATCCAGCTCAAAATCCCCTCTGAGCACTGACAGCTCTTCAGCCTGGCTGTGTGAAAGGCTGACAGCATCTGCAGCTACCAACAGTGCAACAGAGTGATCAGCCTGGTACACATCCATCTGCTTTCATTTCCCCTGACCCTGATGATAGGGGTGCAAGGGGGAAGGCAAGGAAGGATCAACCCAACACAAAGCTGGACTTATGGGGTCTTTCTTTAGATTGAGCCTGCAGCAACGTTAAAATCTGCATCCCAAGTGGCAAAACAAAACTCACCTTCACAGGGCATGTTTCTGCTACTCATATGACTGTGGGTTTTTTAGTTTTTTCTCTTTCCTTCTGAAAACCCATCTTCATGTGTAATCAACTAACATCCAATGTCCCAGTATGATTCACTGTAATTGTTGATTATCTGTTGACTAGGTTTCCTTCCTTACAGAGGTGTTGTGAACACTACAGTCACAAGACAGCCTGCTACTTCAGCACAGACAACCAAGGGATATTTTGCAAGCAAAACAAGAAACCCTCTTCAGGGCATTTCTGGGAAAGACAGCATCATATAGGCAATATGAAGCAGGCACATGTGGAACAGGAGGCTTAAAGTTCAAAAGAAACAGTAATTTCAACCACTATCATTGCCTCCACTGTTCACTGATGTAGGCAGAGGTTTTATCCCTTTCAAGCACAGCATAGTAATTTTTCCTCATATACATGCGTGACTCTATACAAAACGTAAGACTGTAGTAGTGTCTGTAACAAGAGAGAAATGGTGCAATGGTGCCCTTCAAAAGCATAAAGCTGTTACAGGTATTTTGCTAGATAATTATCTGGCTAGATTTCCTTTTTAAGATTTCCTCTTGTATTCTGAACACTCAAACTTGCATAAGGCAGTCAGACACGTAAAAACTGCCAGCTTTTCCCTTGGATAAATGGGGTTTTTTTAAAAGTTTAAAAAAATAGCTTTAAAAGAAAGCAAAATATCTTGCTCTGAAAAGTGCACTTAACTTTTCCTTGATGAAAACAGGAGTGATCTGAAAATGGATATAATTTTTCCTCTTTGATCAACACAGCAAGGATGAAACACCAGAAATACTTAAAATTCCTAAGGCAAGTTTTTTCTACATCTGTTTTAGGCTATTTTGGCTGTAGCATTTATATACTCTAACTATTTTGTGCATTAAATACCATAAATATCCCTGTTGATTTTTAATCTATTTGTGGGTTTCAACATACAGCTGTATTTCATTGGGCTGAGAGGACATTCTGCAAGTACGACTTGAACACCAATGCATTGCAGGAACAATCACTATTATTTATGAATAAACCAGTGATGCTAACAGCTTTTCCCTGTGTTGAAGTTCAATTCCATGTGTATCTATACCAAAGCATGCCTCTGTGGGACAGAGGAAGAACATTTATTTATGATTTACTTTGAAAGCAAGTGAACAATCACTTAGCTTCGTGTGCCAGGAATTTTGCAGTCCATTTGCAACACAAAAAATACCTTCATAAGCAAAAAATAAATCCTAACAATTTCTTCAGAGACAATAGATCCTTCTCCAAGACAATACACTAGATTAACAGATGTATTTTTTCTCTCCTTTTGAGTAAGCTCCCTCCCCAAATTAGCTTAACCTACTGTAGCACAACACTAGGTTTTGTGCATATATTTGGGGTCCTATTGATAACTGCCATCTGCAAAAGGTATTTTATTTGACTGGCATGAACAGAATACATTTGGTTAATTATAATTATAAATGCACATCAGGAAGAGGAGTTAGAAGCAGAGAGTAAGTTACATATCTCATAGAAAGACAACCATGCAGGTTACATCCACCTACCTGTACTAGTGCGATATGTGCCTGTGTGTGCTGGTTGTAGAGGGTCCCCCTGACTCTGGCTGAGACTCCTCATAGGGGGCTTCTGATAAACTCTGTCTTCGTAAATAGGATCTATATGGTGTTCTGGAGACTGCAGTGCCCTTAACTCGGAGCCAAGGTGGCTGTGCTGGCTGCTGTAAGATGCCCGAGACCCAGCTGCAAACAGATTTGAAGAGATGTTTAAGAGGGAGAAAACAAGAGACAAATACAGGATCTGACTATTAAAATTTTTCTTTAAAGTAGCACTTAAACACATAAAAAAATCCCAAAACAAAACTACATACTAAGTATTTTCAACATGCAAATAGAAATAGCAAACAAGGGCAGCTACAGTGCCAGTTAATCACTTTAGCTGCATCATCCAGTTGCCTACATCTACACCAAAATCCCACTTCTTCATGAAGTGGGATTAGATAGATATCATGATTATCATTTCTTCTTAAACAGAGACCAAGGAATCCATCACCTCCTCTCAAAAACAAAAGAAAGAAACCCCAACTTTCCCCCCACCAAAAAAAATCCCCAAACCAAACTAAACCCAAACCAATCCCCCCTCAAAGAAAAACCCCAAAACAAAAACAACAAAACACCAAACAAAACAAAAAACTGAAAAAAACACCCCACAAAAAAAAGCAAACCACCACCAATAAAAAAATCACCCCAACAAACAAAACAAACAAACAAGAAAAGGCAAAAGCTTTGCACCCCAGGAATGTCCTCAACTAAACGGGTCCAGGACTGGGGGAGGTAGGAGGGTTGGGAAGAAAAAAGCCACAGCAGTCAGAGCAAGTTTCACATGTTATGCCCGTATCTGAAAATCTACAAATGAAATAAGCTGAAGTTGATGAATGGATGTAGTTTTACATGAAGGTTGATCTTTCGAATGCTTCACGAAAGTGCAATAGAATGGCTGTGCCTTATCAATATTTTGTCTTCAACACTTTGAAAAAAATCAAGTTGCTAAGACTTCCTTCAACCTAAATAATATCCTCTGAGAATGAATAAATTAAACACACCTCCTGAAAAAGCTATTTAAGGATACAGCTTATTTATTTTCTTTGGTCAATAACAAAATCAAACATTCTACTATTAAAAATAGATTATATAACAACATTTTTAAAAGAGACTTGTATATTTCCAGCTGTGATTGAAGTTATCCCTTCAATCCTTTTGCCATTCATTGTACTTCAGCTCTGTGGTCTGTTATCAGTATTAGCAAGGAGAGTCAGGGGATTGCCATACAAACACAACATATTTTGAAGATAAGAATAAAGTAAAGCAGGCAATAAGTATGCAAGTAACACTTGGCAAATGTCAGGTTTGTATCACAAAGTGGTAACATACTACTTAAGCGTTCAGAAAAGTAATCAAAGATACAACTATTATAGCCCTTGTTGCTAGTGCCCTGAGGTTGAAATCCTGTATGTAGGTGATGTATCACTGGCTGAGCTTGAATGGCTGTAGCCATTCCTACTGAAATCCTCTGCCATAATCATTGTGTTGGCAGAGCTTTTGTTGCATAAAAACACACTAAGTACTTTTAAAATGCAAAGCACAGATATAAAGTAAGGTGAGATAGCAACACAAGATAGAAATGAGAAATACACACCAACAAATTACTTAAATTTCAATATAAATTGTCTGGAGAAAAGAATAACTTATTCCCTTCCCTTCTTCCAATCAGCCTGTGCCATATATGTGATTTCTTCTGAATTCTTCAACTTTCATGCATGTTTTTACTGGAACACCCCATTTGCATATTTTTCCCTTCAAATATTTTTCAGTCTAACTTCCCATTAGCACACTGCTGAAAGTAATTCTGTGTCTCCCCTTACTAGAAAGTCTGCCAAGAATCCCAAAGACATATTTTATCTTTAACTACAGCAATTATCCAGAAACTTGATATTACTATTACAGAATTAAATTTTTCATGGTCTACATTTTCAAAGTGCTCTTTAGCCCTGCACCCTTGAGATATTCAGAACTAAGCTGAACTGTTCCCACCAAGGTCTAGTATCCCACAGAGTGGCCTGAAAAACAGTCTGTTGTGATTATGTCCAAATTCAAATGCATATTTGGTTCAATCTGTATTCAGAGGAAAAGATATAGAAAATCTGTGGAGAACATTTCAAACATTTAACAGAGTATCAACAAACCAGACTTGCTACAGAATAAAGAATTACAACCCATTCTAGAAGCACTACAATTCTTTTGCCCACATACAAGTTAACAGGGCTTCTTGAACAATAGATTTTCCTCTCAATCCAGCTTCCTGTAAGCCAAAAGATTTTTCCCATTGAACTCAGTAGCAGTATAACCTAGACATCAGTATGTTTCCAAACTGTTATGGCAATCTTCTGGTGAGGTAGGCTTAATTCAACCTCCTTTATATTCTACCAATAGTTCTGCATTTTCAAGTACTGATCCTAGTCTAAACAGAAGGTTAATATTAGTTTATTATGCTAATATTGAATAGAGATTTATTTGCAAAATACACATGTAATTAAGAATTTAACACTACCATACTAAACAGTAAGCACATGTATAACATGTATAAGAGAAACATCTTGACCAAAACATTTAACCAACCTGATTTGAGTGAAAACAGTTAAGTGGCAATCTAAAAACAACTTCAAGGCATCTGAGTAACATTATGGCTGAATATCCCCCCCAAGAAGTTCAAGAGTTAAAACCCTATCAGGGAGTAACTGCCACTATCCGTCTAACATTCCAAGAAAATGAAGATTTCAACAGGTAACTAAAATATTGTCATTTTAGAAACTAAACTAGTCTTAAATCTCAGAAATTTATGCCATTTTAAAAGTATGCCTCTTAAACACCTTTAGCTTCAAGCAAAAATGATACTTTTCTATGTGCAATTTTACTACACTATTTCCAAATTATCAGATATCAATATTTAAACACAAAATATTACCACCCTTTAAGGTTCTTAAATCTAGTGAAAAAGATAATAAATCAGAAGATTTATAAAAAGATGTAATGCCATCATAATTTTAATGTTTCTATTAGGTTGGTATTTAAAAAACTAGAACAGCAAGTTTATTTAAGTTAAAGTATCTTTTCAGTTGCGCTTAGAAATTTTTTTTACTTATTAATTCATTCAAGCCTCATCTAAGGAGCAACAGGTTTTTATTGCGTATTTTATTTAAATATTAAAATCAACTAACTAGTAGCTGTTATACCAAGAGTTATATCCAGGAAAGGTCACACAGATAACTTGAGGATTTCAGACAACTGAATCCCACCTCATCTAAACATGGGACCCTCCACCATATTCTGCTGCTTTGGAAGGCACTGGAGAGATAGTTGAGATAACTGATCAAAACAAAGAGCATGAACTCAAAGAACTGATGTCACTGAGAAGAAGAGGTGTAACAGGTCTCCTGGCTATATCCTGGGTTAGCAGCCAACAGCTACATCCTTTGCTATTCAAAGCTGCAAGGTCATCTCTATTGCTGCCTTCAAAAACATTTGCATTAATGCAGTTTGGAGCTCACAGAAGATGGAAAAGCAACCAGGTCAGAATAGGAAAGCAACAACCAATATACTACTAGGAAGCAATAGAACATAAGATCACCAGGGCCCACGAGTAGTTTTGCATTAAGGAGGCTCAGCGCCATCAGAAGCGGTTTCCCTAAATCTAGAGGCAACATGAATGCATGGTTCACCCCCAAGTGCATTTGCCAAACCCTATTCTTAACTAGCTGCCATCCCTTCACCCCACTAATAGCACTGCACCTCTCTGGGTTGCCTGAAATCAAAGAAGTGATGTGCATCAAGGCCACATGCCCTTCTCCTACACATTCTGAAAATGGACTCAGCCCTACTCACTGGCCAGCCCACCCTGACAGCAATGCTTTTTTTCCTTCAGAGACGTAATCAGGCATCAAACCCATTCACAGACAGGTCTATGCTCAAGTTCAAAGAAAACTCATGATTAAACTTTCAGTCCTCCTAGTCTGTCTTTTCATGAAGTGTAGCTTGGCTCGCTCAGTCTCTTATCAGTCCCTCCTGCACTGGAAAGTGCTCAGGCCCAGGCCCTGATGGGCCACAGGTGTGAGCTCCCAGGGTTTTTAATCCAGAGCAGGTTTGAACAGATCCAAGAAAAAGGAAGAAAACAGTCCCGGGAACTTCTCTGCCTCAGCTAGCTAAAAACTAACTAACAGCAAAGGAGAACTCTGTCCTGCTGTCTGTCTGTGCTGCAGACAACACAGTCCAGGAGCAGGATGTGGGGCAGCGAGGGCTCTTTCTGAACACAAACTGTGCGCTTCTTCTTCCCCCTCTTCACTCTCAGAGCCAGTCTTAAAGGTGCAAAACCTAGTATGTAACATAAACAAAGCAACTGGAGATACAAGTATTAAAAAGACATCCCAGGACATAGTCATTATTTACAGATGATGTATCTGGCACCAAAGCATATCCAGAACTCTCATGATCGTGGTGGTGAAGAAGTGGTGTAGTGGATTAATTAAAAAAAATCCCAGACAAACCAAACCAATCCAAAAACACTGAAAATAACTAAAACATTATTTAGGGGTTCAAGAAACCATCCATTAATTAATTATTCCAATAGTCCAATCTTCTTTGACAAAAGATTGAGAAATTATTTGATTACAGTGCCAGAGATATATCACAGCAGAAGGTATATAGAAGACTATACAGCTCTAAAACAGCTGGGAGAGGCACCAAATTAGGAAAAAAAAAAGGTTAAATTATTTTTTTTAGCACAGAAACTGATTGAACTATATGAACAAAAGCATATAGTAAGCAGTCTTCTCTGTCTTCTGAAGCCTCCAAGACTGAAACCTGAAAGCAAGTGGAATGCTCCTTCTGCATCACTGTGGAGCTTTCAGAAGTCATCTGTGGCCAAGGTCCACCAAAGTATCAAATGAGCCCCCAGCCATGTGAACTGGATTAGGGCAACAATGATAACCTAGAACTGTCCAGATGAAAATACACACTCCTATATGTGGTATTTTCTCTCTTCTCGCATTCAAGAGGGGCTAACAGAAAGAACATATGAAAAGTGCAGTCCCACCAAAATGGATCAAAAAGTCAATCTCCACTCTTTACACTTGTAAAATGCCCACTCTACTAGGTAATATTTTCCACATTAGTTAGACACATTCCTCAGTAGTATAGGGAATTAGTTGTTTACTAGGAAAATGCTCTTTTTTTGACAAAGTCTCACTTCCCACAGGAAGATAAATACTGTAATCAGACAAGTGTAACATGAGAGAAATACAAAAAATAATCCCTAATTGCTCTTCAGAGCTGGCACAGGCTGTCAAGAAAATAAATAAAACAGACATGTCTGAATGACACTGCTGATCTGACAGTTTAGATCAATAAAGTAAAACAATATATTGGCATTTATTATTGCAAGAAACTAAAGACATTAAAATTACTGAAATAAATGGATCAAGGGCATTTCCGTATGCTCTAATACATGTTGGACAGTTTTCATCTGTGCCCCTTTTGAAAGCCTTTATAACCTGTCCTTCTGCCTTGCTTCAGCTTTAAGAAGAAGCCCTACAAAGTCACAATACTCTCTAAACATCTCTAATAGTGAGAACAAACAGTACTGTCCAGGATTTAAGAGCTCCTTGGAAACACAAAATATGCAAGTGATAATATCAATGTTAAAAAAACCCATTCAGATTTGACCAGATAAACCATTCAGCCCTCATTCAGAAATCCTTGGTCATTAATATATAATATATATAACATATTCATTGATCAAGAGTCCTGTTAAACAATTTCCTTATGTATATGATGGAGGAACATCATTAGTGAGACATGAGCTGACAATCAGCAACCATTGTATTACCCCTTATCAGTTACATGTTAACAACTTAATTTAGTTTAATTAATTTAACTTTGTTGCAACCCCACACCTTTCAACATACTGCAGACCTCTGGCTACTCGAGGGTCTAAGTATCAAAATCAGACGGAACACACTACAACACTTTGCACTTAGATGATGCATCTTTCTGACAAGGAAGATAAAAGATCCACAGCTGGCTGCATCGATTCTTAATTTTACATATAATGACAACATTGCTTAGACTACAAGTTTTTTTAAAAAATCTGAATAACAACCAACCCTGGACTACAGTAGAACTACAATAAGCCCATCATTGAGATAAAGGCCTGCAGGCACAGAATATGAAAGAGAATCATAGGAATTTTGTGGCTTTGATAAACATATCAAAGTTTGCTTTTCAGAGGACTGAAGGAACTTTTTGATTTAAATAGCACATCATGGCTGAAAATCCTTTTTGACATGTTTCTCTTAGATGCTTGTCCTGAAATGCTATTATTAAGTAAATAGCAGCATAATAATAATAATGCTAGTTAATAAATAAATATACATATACAGTACTTCCGGTCATAGTTTCCCTGCAATTCTGAAAAAGCAACATGTGAGATTTTTTTCCTCTGAATCATATGTAATGAAACATGTTTTACAAATACTAATATTTTTTAATTTCCAGAGTAAAGAAATTGATGTGAACACAAGTGCAGAATTAGAAGTGAACAGGAAGAAAAGTAGAGTTAAATATTCACAGTTCAAGTTTTGATACTGACTTTGTTTTGTGCCAGAAATTTATGCAGAAATATCTCCAAAAGGCCTGCCTGAATGTATGCTTCTCCTAGACATAACATTGGAAAAGGAAAGTATGATCAAGAAGTAATATGGCTATAAATAGAACTAATCAAAAACTCAGATAAGGGGAATGTAACAGCACTGTGTGATGAAAATTACTGTACAAAGAGAAGAAAACACTTCTAACCCGACTACTGAAAGTGAATACAAATTGCTAAGACATGACAGATGGTTAAATTAACCAGTAAGACATGACAGGCCATATGGCAGTACCAGCTAATGCACACCTTGGTACATCAGCTTGGGCCCCAGCACACTAAAGGATCTGCAGTCACTAGAACCAGGACACAGTCTGCAGTGAATCCTTTTTAACTGGGTTTGAGGTTTTTTTTAAACAAAGGATTCTCCCCTGTTTGGATTTTACATACACACAAACACAAATGTATTACTAGAATGAAAGATTAACTAATGAAAGCTCAGAATTAAAACTCATTTCTGTCTTTACACTTTTTCCATTCTCACTACATCATTTTCTCTATGACTTGGGACTACTTGTACAGATACACAAAGAAATAATGCCCTCAGTGAATTGACTAATTACACATTGATGTCGTTCAACTGATATCAAATTCTGGATGTCTGAAAAAAACCCAAAACATGGATATCTTATTTTGGCATCCTCAGCCCACACTGTAGGAGCTTACCACCAAGCAAAAGGTCTCTGCCCCAACATTCAAGTCCCCAGAACCAAAAGAACAGCCTTGTCTCACCTGATAGTATCTTGGATTGCTTTTCCTCAGGTTTCCTACTTAAAAGATTGCAATACGATGCATGGTCTGGAGTGTTTCTTGCAAACTCCCAATGCACTGTCAAACCTACTAGCAGTGTGACTATCAGCATACTGCCACATTCAGCTCACAATGTGGAATTTCCCAGAAATAATTTATCCATTAACCAGATTAAGTATCTTAGGAAAGTCTCCTCCAAACAGATTGGATTTGGCTGCTTAAAGGACACCACAAAACCAGCATCTGAACTAGGACCAGCAGTTTTCACACCAGTGCTAAAAACAGAAAGGAAGGAAGAAAAAAAGGGATTACACTTTTATAAGTGTAATAAATAGACCCCAAGTAAACCTTAAAAATCATTCAATAGAACTTATTATGTCTTATAATAAATGCCCACATAATTTTTATCCCATTTAAACTAGTTTTTAACCAAATATTGGCATCCATTACATTTCTCAACATATCTGAAAGAAAAATAAAGGTAAAAATATTTTTAAATGGTCTGTGATTTTAGTCATGCAATCTGATTTTACTGCAAAGTATTGTATCAGTTACTATAATTCTAAGAATCTAGGGAAAACAAAAAAATAACACTACAGATTTGTACCTCATCCCAAGCATTGTCTTCTTTCTGCTACTGCCCTTGTTCTGCTGAAAGCATTCACCTGCTTAAAACATTTTATCAAAAATAAATTGCTAGTGGAAAAGAAAAGTTTGAGTGGGAGTAAAGATATAAGAGGCAAATATAGCCAGGAAGAAATAGCAGATTAAATGTGACGGGCAAGTTCAGAGAGATAATTCCTATTTCATTTCTGATCTAGAGTACTGTCAATGAAGAAAAATCTAAAAACAGAAACTGCCCCAAAGCAACCACTACCATACATCAACAACTTGCCTTCAGCAGGGAAGGAATATAATTTTTTTTTTTTTTAAACAATTTAGCAAATGATCATATTGGGTGTTACTTTGCATTTGTTTGGGTTTTTTTCACTCCCCTCTCTTAAGCTCTGCCTTTTCCATGCCCCTCAATCCTGCCAATTTTACAAGAAAAGGGAAAAGAAGTCCCATGCACAAATGGGAACAGATGCTGCTATCTGGTTATACAAATCACTGTTCCTAACTTTCCTGCTCATTCCCCACTTTGAGTGAGGGCTGAGTGCCTCAGCAACAGGATGATGTTACTAAGCAACACGACCAAGCAGCTCTGCATAAGCTGTTTGGAAAGTTCACCACAGCTACACAATTGAAAATAATATTAGGCCTTTGTAGCAGCTGAGATCTTTGAAGTTTTACTTATCTTACAAAAGATAAAAATTTGTTATTTCCAATTCTGAATGCTAATAGTTTGTGTTGCACCATGGGCTCTATACTGATGCAGGGACTGTGGCAATGCATTCAACTCAGCAAGTAAAGGAATGAAACAATGGTGAACTTGAAATGGTGTACTTGATGAGACATGCCCCAAAAGCAAATATCCAGAAAAAGATCCCTCTGTGGGACAGTGTGTGAAACCCCACAGTGAATGCTTCACTGACTAGGATTGCAAACCAAAAGGAAGTAACAGCACGTCCTTAATTCCCCAATGCAGTGTCTGACTTCTTTCATAAGGCTGTACCTCAGCAAACTCAGAGACCCAATTTCTGCTGGTTAAGCAGCAGCAGAGGCTAAACATCCAAAACCCCAATGGTCTTTGATGGGCTAGAGACCACTTCCAGCAGCTTGAGTGATTTGCTAAAAAGCACTGCTGCCTCCAGCGAAACAAATCAGGCACTATTGCACTAATGCCTCCTGGTAAATTTTAACTTTCTGATTGTGTTTAACACTGTGGAAAAGCACAGCAGCTAAAAACCCAGCAATTCTGAAGCCTTCCCCCAAACTGAGCATCAGCTCAGTCAATCTTAAACAGAGCAAGTTCTAACAGCAGCTCTGGTGCAGAGGGAAGGGGAAAACCTTTCCACATCAACTCCTCCCTGCACAGAGACCAGAAAGAGTATCTAGAGCTTAAATCCAACTAGAAGTTAAATTCTCAAGATTTCACAGAGAATTTGTTAAGGAAACTGCTTTGTGGAATAGTGGTTCCCAAATGAAAAAACAGTCACTGTGGGAAAGGTAACACCAGAAAACAAAACTCAATTGGGCAATGAAGTGTCAAGTCTGCCCAACTACAGTATTCCTCAATTGGCTTATGCTAGGTAACCTGAATTCTTTATCTAATTGTACTGTCCTTCCTAGAAGTTCACAGTTCCAAGAGGTTTTCCTGCTAATAAAGAAAAGGCAAACATAGTTCTAATGAATCTGGATTGTGCATCCACCTTTTAAAATACATTAACTTATTATGAATAGTCTTGTTTTGAAAACCTGTGTTCCAGTTTCTGACAGACACAGTTGAAATCTCAGACACTGCATGTGGGGTTTGCTCACAGAAAAGCGTTGGCAACTTATGTTTTGTAATTCCATTTGCAAAAAGATTGCACATTATTAAAGGTGTGAATAATACTAACTTTTGGAAATTTTATCTGTTAGTCTTTGTATTCAAACTTGCCTTTTACTAAAAGAATAGAGACAAGCATCAATAGGTATTTGTGCGTTCACATAAGGTCATCTTCGATAGCCTCTGGGAAGACAAAGTGTTTAACATTTTTTATCCTCCTCAGTGAACACTTACTTGCAATCCCTGGTTTCTGGACTTCACCAAGACATGAGGTGTAAGTATGTGACATTCCAGGGGAAAAAAATGGAGTTCATTATCTTTGTCTTTTTCTCAATGCCAAATTCAGGAAAGGGAAGTTATCTCTGGATATTCCGTGACACACTCATCAAGTTCTCGCTATCCATTTGGGACTCATTGCATTTAAAATGTGTGAGTTAAAACATGAACGTTTTACTAAATGTATACATAATCAATTTGAATACAATCTAACTAAAGAATTTAATTATGCTGTAAAGAAGTTTAGGCCAACAATTACCCACTTTACAATTTAGCTCAAAAGATTATTCTACCATTATTTAAGCCAGTTTTAGGTTGTTTCCATTATATACCTATTGAGACCTCTGCTAGAAAACTTAAAGTAATCTATTACTAAAAACCATTATAATCTAAAACAATTCTAATAGGCATGCTCTAAATGAAAGAAATGCTAAATGTAGACACAAAGAAAAGGAATACTGTTTATACCATTACATGAGTAGCTCAAGGACTTAAAATTTATCCTGAAATAATCATTACCTCCCATAAAAAAAAGTTCTCTTTTAGTTCATTATTCTTACTATTATAGCAATCATTCAGTAGTATGCATTTAGTATCCAACTTCCAAAAATTCAGAAAAATACCTTACATAAAACCTTCCACAATAAATAACAAGCAAAGGAGGAAATGGATGGCTACAGATTCTTTTTAGCAGGAACTTATTGTAAGGGAAAAAAAAAAAGAGCAGGGAAGAAACAAACAGCAAAACATGCTTTGCAGTTAACCTCACAAATTCAGATGATTGCTGAAAAGCATGGCCAGAAAAGGACCACAGGCTGAAAGAGTGCTGTCACTCCAGCAGAGAGTCCATGCTAAAATGAAATGGCCATGACAAATGCTGCAGGAGACAAATGGTGAAAGAAGGTCACTGGCAAAAGGAAAGCAGATCTAAGATCAGGAACATAAGAAATGTGTTCACAGCAGTTTGCAATGAACTACTGACAATGTTAATCTTTAAGAATGGCTTTAACACGAATTTCAATTAGAAGAATGAGATTCCTTTTGGAATTCAAAGGTGACAAGCACTTGAGGCATTCTGAAGTGTCATACAATTAGTTCCTGGTTATTTATAAATGCAAATTGACACTATTTGCATGTCAATGGTTTCCTTGCCTGTGAAGCCAATACTTCCACAGCCATATGGCTGGCTGAAGACATGTGCATCAAGTTTTGTCTGATTTTACAAAAGTGGTCCAAAATCTACTAGACTGAAAAAAGCAGTGACATGCAATCACAGCCTTGATAAACTTCAGAGAAAAAGATTTTTCATCTAAGACATTTAATTCTTGAATTCCTGGATTCACAAGATAGGCTCTTAAGCATGGCAGAATACAAACTAGATCACTTTGGAGGAGATGCTCAGTTATGTTCAGCATTAGCTGACTCTTGCCAAAGGCATCTCAAGATTCAAAACAGACAAGGATGACATGAGCTACACAGGAACTACGTCATACAGAAATAAACACAAAATTTCCATGAATAAACCTTGAAAACTTTGAAGTTTGGTCAGAGACCAGACAAAGTGCAATCATGGCTGGGGGGGGTCACTGTATTCACTAGAGCTATCAGGTTCAAATCTTTTGAGGGAAAACGGAGGAGCACTAGCTGACAAAGATGCCCCAAACACATCATGGTTAGTTAGTCAAAGCCCTAAAATCAAAGGCTGATGGTGAAAAGCAACTCAAAAGATAGCTTCAGCTCTCACTCCCTCCTTGGTCAGATGAATTGTAGAAATACAGAAAGACTTGGATTGGAAAGAACCTTAAAAACCATCTAAACACTTCTCACCATGGGCAGGGATAAACTATCCCAAAAGCTGCCAGGGACTCAACTAATCCCATCTTTTTTCAAAGAAAGTAAATCCTTCATCAAATTAATTATTCTTACCAGGATTCAGCACTCTTAGCAAATAGCCTCTATTTACCACGTGACACAATGTAATGGAGCAGCTTCTCCTCTGTTAAGAAATGGAGGAAACACACTAAGTCAGGTCTGTGTACAACAAGCTTCTTTATTTCTTGATAATCCATGCAGGATGGTTCAGAAGAGATGAAGGCTAGAAAGTGTCTCTTGCCTACAGAGGGTCACAGCTACATACAGTTCTCCAGATGAAGTCTCACCCCGTGTAATACAGCCAATTTTGCTTGTTATGTGAGGCCATGTTAGGCCATGAAATACTCTATTATGTTCCTAATACAGGTGGCTGAGATATGCTACAGTCAACCAGGTCACACAGGTATTTTTCTACTTTTCTTTTCAGCCAAAGATGCTGAACATGTAACCAGCTATTAAGTGTACTATTACCTCGGCTCCAATCTGTCTTTCCCTCCCATGTGCAAAACCCTTTCCACAGAAGATTTATCTTCCTCTCTTCAAAAAAT